TACTAGTGTACCAAGTGAGCAGGTATTCTCAGTTGCCAAACATACCATAAACTCCTTACGTAATCGTTTAGATCCAGAAAAAGCACGGGCAACTCTCTGCCTTAAAAGTTGGTATGAATCTGGTGTAATTAAAAAACTTGAATTGTAAAGTTTTAAAAATCTTATAATTAGTTTAGCGTTAGTGTTAGACTTAGTTTAGCGGTAATCTTTTTTTAAAGGTTGAAATATTCGACTGTCTAATTGCATTTTTCTAATTGTAAAGATCTATTAAATTTTTGACTTAAATAGAACTAAGTTTGAAACTTATGTTTTTTTGTGACTTTCACATGATATTCTTGAACTCATTTTAAACTATTTCTGAACTTGAACCTTAAAGAAACAGGACCGAACCGAACTTTTACATCCCTAGTATTTTCCGCCCTGGCCATAAGTCCAATCTCTAATCAACCACATTTGGACTAAAAACAAAATTGAGATGATCAAATCCCACTTGCGTCTTACTTATCACACTTTTGTTATTGTCCGAGATTTCGAAATTTCAACTCAAAAAAATTTACTATTAAAGTCGCATTTCGTTAAATTATAAAGAGCATCTTAATAATATAAAAAAAAAAAAACCACTAAAAAGCTTTTATTATTAACGAACAAAAAAGGTATCTTCATTACACCTGATCTCGAAATTTAATTGGCTATTAAACCGAATTGGAATGGTAATACCAAAATTAAAAAACTCCCAGCGCATCGGCGGGCGCATGACTTGTTACATTATCTAGCAAACTAATGAAAATCTATATTGTTATAAACGGCTAGTCGATTTTTAACGTTAGTCAATTTCTTATCTATGCAATACTACAATATATGACTTTTAGAAGTGAATAGATTCTAACATTCCTTTTATCGACCTGCTCAGTCCACAAAGGTACAGGTTGAAGGTCGACCTGCCTATCGCATCGACGGTTAATTAAATTTAAATGCTAAAATAATTATTTTACAAAATTATTATTGTTTTGCAAAAACTATGTATGACTACGTATCGCTATCCATGATAAAAATCAAATTTACTTTATTATACAGAAATATCTTTCGAACTTGTTCTTATTAATATGATCGATGAACTAATTTCTACAAATTTATTTTTAAATTGTCAAGCCAACTACCTCAAAGCGATACGTGCTTAGGAAAACAAAATAGAAACACTAAACCAAAAGAATGCAGGTCTTCCAAAAGAAAATTTGGGATTAATATATAACAAATAATGTTACTAATGATCGTAGTGCAATTTTCCATTATTGTCCAAAGTATTGGAGCTGTGCAGAAATGGAAGCTCATCTTGTAAATAATTGACATTAGTAGTTTAAATAACTTGTACATACATTGTCTGCCTTTAAATAATGAAAAAATTATTAATTATACAAAAGTATTATTAATTATATAAAAATATATAAAATTAATTTGTGATCTGAGTGAAAAGGCATAGTAAAATTTGGAAATAAGTTTATTATGTGAATTTTACCTTTTTTGGAATCTGAACGTTAAAATCAGCACGGTGGATTTTGAGATATGGGCATTTTTCTCTTCATGACTATATGTTTACTTCTTTGTTTACACAAATAAAAATTGTCGCGAAGACAAAAATGCCCATATCTCACGACCCACTGACTATTTTAACGTTTCAACCACCATTATGTTCGAAATTCTCTCCTCTAAAGCTTTTATTAGAAGTTGAAAAGTGGTTGCTTAGTAAAAAACGATTTATCCTTTGGGAAACTTCAGATAGTAAATTTCCCACGGCTTACTATGTTTTTCATTGGTCCCCTGGCGGAACACGAATTAATTTTGATTTTTTGCTTTTATAATCCAAATTAATTTAATTAAGTTTGCAACGCTAGTCCGGATTATCTCATCACTACAATCGATAGATTTATTGGCAGTACCCAATCAAATTGCTTAAATATTAATATATTTTCTGCAATATTACTGTATTATTAAAACGATCAGTTAATGAAAAAATGTCGTTAAATTTTTTGAAAATCTTTCAAACAATTGTACTCCTTGATGATGAGAATGACTTAACGTAATTGGGGGTTTCAGAATTAATTTTTTTCAAAATAAATGGGAGTTTAAAAGATCTTATTTTCTTTTTTAGAATTTCGAAATTAAATAGGCGTAGCCGGTGATAAAATTAGCTTTTTTTGACAAACATTCATCGATAAGCGATTAGTACATACTTTAAAAAATAGCATTCATTTTACCGACTCACTTTTCAATCTCCTTATTTGGAAATGTATCTAAAATACAACGATAGGATTATGGTTAGGTTTTGGTCAGGGTAGGTCCCATAGGTAAAATTACTCTCCCGACATTTTTTATTGTATTTTTCAGATTTTTTCTTTTTTCGCTTTATAAAAACATTTACGATTTTGATCTATGTAAATCTTCCAAATAAGGAAATCGAAAATGGTACGTTGCTTCTTTTGAAATAAATACGGCACTTATTTTATCTGAAACGGACGAATCATTAGTTCTGAAACCCATTATTAATACTGTAGAATTATCAAGTACTAAAATATCCTGGGCGCATTTGGACATGGGTTTTTGTATTTTTCGTAATGAATTAGCAAATGCTAGTAGAGGGGAAAATAATAAACCGAAATTACATCATGATATTGTTGCATCTAAAGTAGCCACCCTATCTAAAGTACCCCTGGGCTAGAATTACGATTTAGTGCATGCATGAAGATCTAATTTCAGGGGCCTAATTTTAGTCAGGCGCTACTTTATATATCTAAAGTAGCTACTTTAGATAAATCGCTACTTTAGATGCAACAGCCTAATCACAGCATGAGTTCCTTTGCATTGCTATCGCATCCATGGAGCTTAATCACAACGTGAGATCCTTGCACTGCTATCATAGCTAAGGCGCTTAATCATCAAACATAAAGCTCTTGCACTGCCTGCGACAGCCATAAACAACGTGAGGTCCTTGAAGCCACAGAGCCCAATCACAACGTGTACTGCTATTATATCTTTGGACCAATAATAAAAAAAAGTCAAAAATCTATTCAGATTTTGTTCAGATTATTATTTTAAAAAATAAACATTTTCGTAATAAAAATCCGAACAAAATCTTAAAAAATTTTTACTATTTTTTTATGGGGGCTCAATCACCAAACATGATGTTCTTGCATTGCCTGCGGCAGACATAAGGCCTAATCACAACATGATTTCCTTGCATTTCTATTGCAACCATAAAGCCTGATCATAACATGAGGCCCTTGTACTGCATACTACAATATCAGGTTTAGTACACTTATCTCTAACTCCTTTTAAGCAACTCAAGCGCCTAGTTATTAATTGAATTATTTGCCATTTATCTATTATTACTGTAATTTCTTATTCGTGATTTATGATTCTTGTAATTTGATTTTCTGAAAATTTTTATCCAAAATGTTGATTATAAATTTTAGTCTTATCTGAACTCAAAATTGTATGTACCCACTTACACTTGTACTGTATATATAATATATATGTTCGTTACAATAATTTTATCTATTAAAGCTGATAGTCTTTTTGTCCATCCTATTAATCTAAGTGTTTAGAATAAATGATCCACGAATATTTATTGTTTTACTTTTCAACTTAAATGAGTGAAGTCAAAACGAAAGTTTAAGTATTATAAACTCACTGGAGATCAATTCAAAACTGTACCTACGTAAGTCAAAAAAATCCAACTATCAATTTTTCTGGAGGCAATGCTATGAATTGTCCAGCCCGAACTCCCGAACAAGTTCATGAACTTTCGAACTGAACTTGAACCTGAACTGAACACATGATAAAAGTTCAGTATCAAACTTGAATTTGAACCATTTTTTGTTATAGTTCAGGTTAAGGTTCGGTTCAAATTTTGAACTGAACTGAACTTACCCTAAATTCGGTTCGATTCAGAATCATAGGAACGCAACCTCCCCCTCTAAAAAATTTCGAATTTTTTATGCTAAACAAAGAATTAAATTGGAGTGTCTTACCAACAGAATAAGATCAACCGTAACCTTTTATGCATAATGTGTTTTAATGATCGACAATTCCAAACGCAGAATTCTAATTCTCAATTCTACTGCATTGCACGCCCAACAGTTTTACTACAAAATTCCAAAAACTATTATTCTAAAAGACAATATCAACTAAATTAGTAATTCTCCTGCATCTATAATAATGATGCAGGAATGTTTTATATATCACCATATCTGATATATAACGAACAATATATATAATAATCGTGTATCTCAAAATTTTGAATAATGCATTCAAGTTTGATTTTTTGTCAGCTATCTCAATATGTCGGCCATAATTAAGGAGACCTTTTACGTTAAGCCAACCAGACCAACGAAACATGTTCAAATTCCACTTTCTAATTGTGACATTATCACGCTACCTATTTATACTGGGTTCATTTATTTTTTTAAAAATAATTTACAAAAAGATAATTTTATGAACTCTAAAAAACTTTTAGAATCACTTGGAGATGTTTTAAACGATTATTATCCTCTGGCTGGTACACTTAAAAGTGCGCCCGATGGTAGATTTATAATTGACTGTAATGATCAAGGTGTTCAATTTATCATTGCTGAATGCTCTGACATTACAATCAATCAACTTGAAGAAAAAAATTGGGAACATGCAGCTATTCCTTACGGATTAATGCAAACATCAATAATGCCTAATAAAATTGGTCCATTTATATTTATAATACAACACACTACTTTTGCTGATGGATCCGTAGCCCTTGGTTTTGCTAAACATCTTTATTTTATGGATGGTTTTGGTCTTTTTACTTTTATTGAAAATTGGGGGCGAAGAACTCGCTTAGAACAGATTGACCCACCTATCCATGATCGAAGTTTGTTAAAAGCAAGCGGTAACCCTCCAACTTATGTTCCTTACGAATATTCTGTATTGAAACCGACAGATCATAATTTTTCACGCACGGGAAAGCCTCCTTTAACGACAAAAATTTTTCGCTTTAGTCAGGATGTTCTTAAGAGGTTACGTGATTATTATTCTGTTGGTATTCCAAATGGGAGTTGGATTTCAACAAATGATGCACTTGTAGCTCATCTTTGGAGAACAACCACTAGAGCTCGAAATATTGATTTAAACACTGAAGTATTCAGTAGCATTGCTCTTAATGGACGTGATAAATTAAATATTCCCAAAAATTATTATGGAAATGTTGTTTTGTAAATAGAATTTATTCGTTTATTATTATCATTGTTGTTTTTTAGTTTAAAAATAATTTTAACATATATTATTTATTTTTAGTCAAATATGCCCAAAAATGCTTGTCTCTCAATTGATTAATAATCAACCATGTTCAGTAGCACTTCAAGTTCGAAAGGCCGTTACAGATATGAATGAAAGTCGTATTCGATCCATAATTGATTGGGTTGAACAACAACCAGATAAATCATTGGTTGTAAGAAGTATTATGTATAATGGCAAAGATTTGGGAATAACTAATTGGACAAAAATTAATAAGCATAATTTAATAGATTTTGGCTATGGAACTCCTATAAAGCAGAGACTTGACCGGGAATATGCAGTTAATGGATTATATATAATACTTGGTGTCGAGGAGGGTTAAAATAATATCGACTGAATTGACTTGAATAAAAATTGTTTATCAACCAAATCAGCATGCACAATAAATTAATAAAGCTAATAAAAAGTGTATCTATTATTTTCAAATAGTTTAACAAATTATTTGGGTTGTTGTATAACAAAGCCATACTTGAAGTATATATTTTTTTATATACTCTAAGCATGGTTTTCTATACAACAACCCATTTGATTCTTTCTGGATAAATTATTAACTTAATAAGAAATAGCAAATAATTTAATATCTTACCAAAATAGAATAACTTAAAGAGCAGCTAAAATATTTTTGCCATATTCTAAACTATACAGTAATTACAGACTAATTTAATATAAATATAAAAATTGCTTATTTTAAATACACCCTTATAATCACTAACTAAATAAAAGTAAATGAGTATTATTTTTAGCAACAGTAAGAATAAAAGGTAAATACCAGAGCTTCATATAGCCATAGATCACTAACTTATTCCCTGTAATAGAAAATAAAAATATTATTTTTATTTTATATAGTATCATAATAGCAAATCAAATAATTTGTAATAGTGATTTATTTTTTTTATTTTTTTTAGATCTATAGTATAGTTTTTAAAACAGTATTTAATATTCTCTTATTATATTTGTTATCCAACTATTGTTGTACAGATTTGGCTATTATGATAAAACCAGTAAATGGTATAACATTTAAATTTATAACCAATATTGATATTTTATATAATTTGAAGAATAATTGATTTACTCCTATAGCTATGAACTTATATTTTTAATACTAAACAACTAAATTAGTCAAAAGTATAAAAAGTTATATTGAAGCTCTAATCAAAGCTAAGAGTATTATACAATATATTAATTATTATATATTATTATTTATTTTTTAATAAAATAAATTTTTTATCTACTATATATTTTTGCTAAGTTAAAGATGCAGAAACCTTTTGTCAAATACTATAAGTTAGATAATCTTGCAATAATAATTATATTATTGCTTTATTAAAAAGCTCTTCAATTACTAACAAGTTTATTTTATAGACTAATTATTTTATTGATAGCTTATTTTATTGTTAGTTTTTTTTTTTTTTTTACTAACAACTTATAACACATATTTTTTATAACTTGAACTAACTTTAATTCTAGCTTTAACTTTAAAATAATTATGATTTTTTTGCCAGCAAAGTAAGCTTTAGTAAAATAAATTATCTATGAATAAACTTTTTGCAATTTATAGTTTAGTTTAAATTAAGATTAGATTAGGGTTAGAAGTAAAGTTTTTATATATTATAATTTTATAATATTTTTATATTGCCTATCTATACTATAGAAGATCTTATGAAACTTGTAAACTTTTATAATTTTGATGAAAATTTAAAATAATTTTGATTGGTTAAATATAAACTATTGTTGTATTAAGTATTATAAAATAATATAAATTATAATATAATATTAAAGTTACTGTAAAGTACAGAAAATAAGCTTAGCACCCTCTACCCTGCTTTTTTCAATTTTAGATTAGCAGAATAGCAATAAAATCTTTAATCAATTTATTTCTGTTAATTTGAAATTGAAAAAGTAGGGTAGAGAGTACTATGCTTATTTTCTATACTTTACAGTAGCTTTTATTTTTTTATTTTAAATCTTTAAAAAATTATAAAATGACAAAGAATACAAAAAGTATATTGATATTAAATAAATTTTTCTTAATTTATCTTAGCAGTTAGATTATTACAATTATAATAGTTATTTTTATAATTTTCTGGCTTGTTATAACAATATTATATAGTTATTTACATTAGCAAAAATATATATGCATAAACTTTTGTAAGTTTTTATAATATATAAGAAAATTGTAATTTATATATATATATATTTTTTTTTTTTTTTAAGTGATCCTGCCTTTATTTATGTGACCTGATTGTATAAAAAGCTATAATAGCAATTAACCATTTCAATCGTAGTGTTTTAATCTAATAAAGACTCACCAAACTCTAAAAGTCCAATATAACCTGCTATAACAACTGTTAGTTTACATGGGAACTATAACATCCTATCACATTCAACATTACTCTAAAGCAAATATGTTACTATAATAATAAACTGGCTGTTATATGCCTCATTAGGATCACCCAACCTTCAAAATCTTTTTCTACCAAAATCTGGGTAGAATACCTATCTTCTACTTTTCTCTAAGTAAGGATTATATATACTACTTTTACCAAAGAACAACTATATCTAGAAGAAATAAAAGAATCTAAAACAACTAAAACACTATTCTAAATATATTTCTATCATAAATAAACAAAGATAAAAAAAAACAAGAAAGTTAGATAACTCTAACAAGAAAAAACTACATACTAAAAAGCACTATTATAACTGTATCAGGTAGATAAAAATTATATAACAATAGCAATATTGTATATCTTTATTGTAAAGCTTTGCCTTAACCTTTATGCTTTTCTTTCCAAACTATATTAATACCAGAAGTTCTGGCCAAGCCTTCTAATCCATATCTCAAGCCAAGTGTTGCCACTGTCCAGAGACTCATATCTTAAGCCACTTGCTACTGCTATTAGAAGTATCTTAATCATTAGCTTCAGACCAAACTAGTAGTACTATATCCGAATTAGACCAAACATGTAGTTGCTATCTACTTTGTTAACTGAAAAAGAAAACTAGTAAACAATGTCAATCTTTGGATGGGGGTAAGCTGTTTTGCCTATTTTTCTTCAAAAATTTTGTTGCTAGGATAAGAGAGCAAGTAGAAAGAAAAATTTTTCAGAGTAATCAGTAACTAAACAAATAGCAATTACTTGTTATAAACTGTTTTTCTCAAACAAACTCTTCTTTTTGGTAAGTAATAAACTCTGAGCCTGTCGGCAAGTAGCATATGAGAACTACTTCTAAATAACAGGTGCTATCTTAGCAGTAAATAATAAACTCTAAACCTGTTAGCAGGTAGCATATAGGAACTACTTCTAAATAACAGGTGCTGACTTATAGCTTTATTCTAACTTTAGACACTTCTTATAACCTCTTTACTGTGTTTTGAGTTTAAAAAATTTTCTGGGAAATTTTGGTATAAGAGATTGTTTAATTGTAATTTATATTAACTTTAATATAAACATTATATGATTTTCTTATATACTATAAAAACTTATAAAAGTTTATACCAACTTTAGCAATAATATATATATAAACTTTTATTTTATATTATATAAAAAATATAAAAACTTATAAAAGTTTTCAAATAAAATTGGATACTGCAAATAATTTACAAAATAAATTTTTTATTTTTTTATAAATATGATATTACTATCTCTTATAATCTATATAATATATTTACCTAATTAATATAAAATTAATTAGGCTATTTTTTTTGATTTTTGTAGCTTTTATTCTTTTTGAAAACACTCTACTAAAGTTGTTGTTGCTTTTTGGTATATAGTTATTCAGAATTACTATAGATTTTTTTTTATTTTTTTATTTAGCTTTTTATTATATTATTGTTTGATTTGTTATAGATTTTTTTTCTTACTTTCACTTTGCTTTTTTTATATTGTTGTTTATTTGTAGTGTTTTTTTATTATTTTTGAAATTACTATAAATTTCTTTTTCTTTCACTTTACTTTTTATTGTTTTGTAATCTTGCTTTAATTTTTTTTTATTTTTATTAATTTGTTCTAGCTTTTAGTATTGCTTTTAAAATTATTGTTTTGAAGTTATTTGTTGAATTACTATTTTGGAGTTGCAGTAGCTTTTGATATATTATTATTTGTTTGTAGTATCTTTCTGTCATATTTGAAATTATTATATATTTATACTTTTTATTTTGTTTTTTTTTATCATTTTGGCTTTATTTTTTTTTATTTATTTCTAACTTGCTTTGTTTTGAACTTTTTTATTTTTATTTTAGCTTTTGGTATTGCTATGCCTTTTAATATATTGTTACTTTTAATATTGCAAGACTTTTAGTATATTATTGTTTTTGGTATTCCTTTAGCTATTGTTAGAGTTATTATTTTTGATATCTTTATTTTAAACAGTCTATTTTAATTTTATTAATACTACTTTGGTTTATCTCTTGTAGGTTTATTTTATTTAAATTAGTTATTTTAAATTAGGTATTTTTGTTTTGAATATTTATAGATTTTTTGTTTTGATATAGTAATAGCTGTTTCAAAAATAGTTTAATAGTTAGATAAGACATCTATTATTAAAATTTTTAGGATTAAAATTTAATATATATATTATATAATAATTTTTTTTCTTTCACTTTGCTTTTTATTGTTTTGTAGACTTGCTTTATTTTTACTAACTTTTATCTTAATTTTTATAGCTTTATTAATTTATCAGCTTTTGGTATTATTTTTTGAAGTTATTACTTTAGAGTTATCTGTTAAATTGCTGTTTTGAAGTTATAGCATCTTTTTGTTATATTTAAAATTATTTTAGATTTTTTTTTATTTTGCTTTCTTCTGTTATTTTAGCTTTGTTTTTTTTCTATTTATTATTAACTTTCTTTGCTTTGAGCTTTATTATTTTTATTCTAACTTTTGATATTACTGTGGCTTTTAATATATTGTTACTTTGATATTGCAAAACTTTTAGTATATTATTATTTTTAATACTTTTTTAGCTATTGCTAGAGTTATTGTTTTTAGTATCTTTGTTTTAAATAGTTTATCTTTATTTTATTAATATTACTTTGATTTGTCTCTTGTAATATTGTGTTATTTGTATCAGTTATTTTAAATTAGGTATTTTTGTTTTAGATATTTATAGATTTTTTTTTTTTTTTTTTTTAAATATTAAGGTGACCTTTAGGCATCTGGCATATAGCTTTATTCAGATAGTTATGATATTATATCTAGTTTATGAGGATACAACTAGCTACATGTGTACTTTTTAAGTGCCTAATTAAGTAGTATAAACAACTAAACTATTTTTAACCTAGAGTTCTACACTAGCTGTCGTACCTATAACCCAACCAGAGAGTTATTTGTTTAAATCTTCTGGCTTCCTTTTTGTAACACGCCTACCCTAATACTCTTTGAGATTAGTAATACTATGAAATGTCCCTAAAACTTTAGCCACATGAGCATTTATCTTGTAGTAAACCTAACAGAATAGTACATATCTCACACATGTGCTTGCTTGCTTGTTTGGCAACTTTTTTTTAACTAGTATTTGTTATGCTGCTATCACCGGATTCATATCTCAAGCTATTTTTTGAGATGCTACTATAATCTGATTCTTATCTCAAGCCACAATCTTTTTTAATTAGTTATCTATTACATACTTCTTGTGCTTGCAAGGTTTACAACATCTCCAGTACCTATGTTCTAACTTTCTTCTTTTCTGGATTCCTTATCAGTCCCTTCTTTACTTCTAGCTGGAAACCCAGAAGGGTTGGTCTGCCCAGGCATTAGGTGCTTTATGGTCTCTCTCCCCTTGATACATACTTCTGGAGCACAAGTCCTTTTTCTTTGGTGGCGAGCTAGTGGTTTAGCTAGTGTGTCCTTTTACTTAAGAGCCTGGTTGCTCAGTTCTCCAATTTCGGTCTCTAGTTCCAAATTTGGTCTTCCTGTAGTACTTTCAAAGATCACTACTACTCCCAACTTGGGACTTTCCAAATGGGTTTCAATCATCACAGTTCCTTGGCCTTTTATTTGCTAAAGCTCCTATAATGAACATGGTATCATCAAGGTTACAGGTTCTGGAACCTAACTAATCAACTATAACTATTACTATATTATAGACTTATTTTTTAAAACTGTTGTCCATGAGATTTGAACTTTAGACCTACCATCTGGAGGTGTGACAACTCTACCACTTCACTAAGTCACCATACTCTCTATAGATTTTTTGTTTTGTTATAGTAATAGTTATTTTAGAAATAGTTTAAAAGTTGTATAAAATATTTGTTATATAAATTTTTAGAGTTAAAATTTAATATATTTGTTATATAATGATATATTAGAGTTAAGTAATACAATAGTGTTTTAAAATTGGTAAAATTTTAAAGAAATTAGATTTAAGATATTTGTTATATAATAATTTTGATAAATAAATATTTGCTATTTATTACATAATAATTTGTAATATTTAATATTAATTATACAATATATTTATAATATTATTATAAATTATGATATTTGCTTAATTAACTGATTTATTTTAATTAGCTAATATATTGTTATAATAGTTATATAATACTGGAAACTGATTATATAAATCTTAGAATAACCAAGAGTAATAATTACTAGTTATACAAGATTAGTAAGTATTTTTTATCATTATTTACTTTTTGGTTTTATAACTTTTAGATTTTTATTATTAAAGCTATTTATTTTGGTACTTCTTTTGTTATTAGAATAATCTATTTTAGTACTTGTTTTTATTATTGATATCACTCATTGCAGTTATTTATCTTTGTGTTTCTTCATTTATAGCACTTGTTACATAATTTTTTAGTTTATAATAAAGTTTTGAATTTTCAAGTAAATATATAAATTTTTTTCATTTGTTTATAAACTTTTTTTTGCACTATTAATAATTTTTTTTTTAAATATAGATATATTATCTTTTATAATTTAGAAAGTTTTGTATAAACTAGATAGTATAAAGCTGCTATTATGTTAAGATTAGAAGGTATTTTTTAAATTTTAACATGTTTTGCTAAAATTAGATATATTTCTTATTTACTTTGTATATACTAACTTTTTTTTAAATTTTTAGATACTTTTTTTGTGAGTTTTATCACTAGAGTTGTCTATCTTGGTGCTTTTTGTTATAGAAGTTGTCCTTTTATGTTTTTAGTACTTTTTTTTTCATTAGAGTCATCTATTTTGGTGTTTTATATTTTATTTTGTATTTTATTTTATTATATACTAATATTTTTTATTTTTGTTTTAAGATTTATAAAGCTTTTTTTTATAAATTTTTTATTTCTAAAGTTATTCATTTTAGTACTTTATTGTTAAATTTATTCTTTCTAGTATTTTTTTTTTACTATAAAGTTATTCTTTTTAGATATTGCTTTTGTTATTGGTGTTATCTAATTAGTATACTTTTCTTTATAGTGCTTCTTTGTTGTTGTTATTATTCAATTTAATATAATCTCTTTTGTAGTAGTTATTTGTTTAGTCTGCTAAATAATATATTTTTGTTATTAATATTGCTATTTCTTTCTTAGTATATATTAGATTTTTGTATTTTATTTTTTTTTATTTAGTTATTTTTTTTGCTTATTAGTAACTTTTTTTCAAACTTTTGTTTTGCTTTATATAGTTTAATATATTTAGTAGAGGTATTAGACTAGTGCTTATATAGACATGTTTTATTTTAATTAGCAGTTAGAATTAGAGTTAGTTTTTAATATTTGTTAATACAGTAGTAGGTATAATATTTATTTAGAGTATATTATATAATAGTATAAAAAATATAATTTTTTTTTTTAAATAAAAAGTTTTAACAAAAAAAATTTATTATTATATAAAATTTTATATTTTAAAAAATATACTAAATATAAAAATTGTATATTTTTTTATATTTAAAAATTTGCAAATATTTGCATAATTTTATTAGAAATTTGTAAATTTATGTACATATTTGTTTAACCTTTTGTATTTTTTAAAAAATTTTTGTTTGCATATTACAAAAATGTATTATAATATAGATATATTATTTTTATAAATCTGTATAAATTTTTATAAACTTATATATTGTTTTTTTACAATACTATATAATTACTATAATATAAACTTTTATAAATTTTATGCTTATGTAATACTCTAAACTAATTATAAGTTTTTTATAATTTTACCCTTGTAAAAACTTGCAAAGATTTATATATATTTTTTGCAAATATATAAAAACATTGTTATTATTTTACTATTTTTAAAAATTTTAAATAGTAAATATTAAAACAATTATATAGTATACAAATTTAATAAAAATTTTAAAATAATAATAATTATAACTTTATTTTAAAAATATCTATAGCTATTTGTACTGTTTTTATAAAAACAACTTATTCAAATCTGAAAATTTAAATACTAATCATAATTTTAAAAATTATTTTATACTTATCTACTATAATTTTAGCTAACTTTAATAGTATATTATACCAAATTAGATTAGTATAAACTTTAAAATAAAATATTTAATATTTCTATATTATACAAATCTGTATAATTTAGAAATAATATTACAGATAATTATTATTAATACAAACAATCTAATATAAACAAATTAAATGAGTTATTTATATTATAAATAAATATAGTGCTATGTAATACAATACTATAAAGTTTAAATATAGAGTGTTATATTTTATTATATTTAATATATTGTTTAATTAATTATAAGATTTGCAAATATATATTATAAAAATATCTATAAACTATATACTTTATAATATTATATATCACTTTATTTCTGGTATATAAGTAGCTATATAATATTATTGCTTTGAACCAAAAGTAGATAAATAAATAAGCTTAATATAGACAACTTTACTACAAAATAGTTATATAGTTTTTAAATTTAGATAAATAAATATAAATATATAATTAAATATAGTATATAGATAAAGTTAATAAAGAAACAAATCATTTTTAGTACAATTTTTTTAATTTTTAAGTTAAAATATTTTAACTAATTAATCAAATTTGCTAATTTTTTTTTATTTAAATTTTGGAATTATATAAAATTAAAATAAAAAAATTATAAAATTTTATAAAATAATATTTAAGCTTAAAGTCAAGAAACTTTTATTTAAAAAAATTTAATCTTTTTTATTAACTATCAGTCATGGGACATGTCCATCATATTGATTTTACTATTAATTTATTATCATGTAATATAAATCATCATGAAGTTTTTTTGACATATGTCAAATAATTAATAGCAACTGATATTTTTGACCTTAGAGAAACTTTATTCTTCAAGTTTTGAGCTTTCGTTCAGTAGCAAAAATACCTTTATTATTTATTTTATAAAAAATAAAATGAGACCTAAAGATCACAATTTTTTAATATAAATAGTAAGATCTACTTTAAAATACTGCAGATTAAAACCAGCTTTGCTCTGATAGCAACAATGAATAAAGAGCTTTACAAAACTTATTATTGAAGTAAGGGTGCTTTACTTGTAGATTATAGAAATTTACTAAAAGGATACCTTTTAATAAGATAGATCAAGGTATTAATTCAAAAGTATTTCTGCTTTTATCTCTTTTTTCTAGATTTAACTAATATAACTAGCTTCATTACAAAGGTCAAGTAAAAATTCAAAATATAATTATAACTAGAAAGTGGATAATAATTATAATCTTTATTAACTATAATATATATTATATAATGATAAGTATATAGGTAAAAATATTAAATTGAGTTTATGTGTATATTAGAAATATGATTTTCACTATGCTTCAAACTAATAAAAACTTTGTTTTCTATAATCTCAAATTCTAGATCTTATAGAACCAGATATATATATGGCAATTTAAAAATATTTAATTGTAAATGAAATTCCAGATTCCAACATATCATATTCTAATTATTAAAAGACAATTCTATTTTTTTTTTTTAATTTATTAAGAATACTTATATCAGTTATTTTTATAACTTAACTTTTTTCTCAGTCCAATTCGAAGATATAGTTTGAAGTTCTAATGTAACTTTTGAAATTATGGTATCAGGCATTTTTTCTTTAACCTCAAACAATTGAAGAAATATATTTTTCTCTGCTTCTGTAGTAGTGCGATAGGTTTGTCTTGAGCGATTAATTTCAGAAAGTAATAATAACTGATGCAATGAAGTACTTTCTTGAACTTGTGCAGAATTACTTATTTGGGTACTTTTTTGCTTTTTTATACTCTCAAGTTTAGCATAAGTATATATATTTATGCTTCACGAATGATGTCCAGAAGTTGGGGCTTCAGTCTTGTACACATCCTGTGCAAGCACCTGTTTAAACTGTGATAATCCAGACTCATAAAAAGTAAAAATATTTTCAAAACTCTCTTTGCTGATTTCTGGTGCATCTTTGAACAGAAAGTGCGTTGCTGTATCCAGTTGACTAAAGGCAGACAATAATTTTTTAGATAAGAATTAGAGTGAATTTTGTGTAACTTGATCACATGAAGATTTTGGCTTACCACGACATCATCGATATACTCTGCAAGAAGCATTGTCAACTGATTTTTCTTACTTTGTGTAGCTTTAATCTTCAGCATCATGGTCTATTGGTCAGCAAGATTACCTATTATATTTTGCTTAATAAACTTTATGCCATAAGTTTCAAGTGCTTCATCAAAAGCAAAATAATGTTCTTTACTTGTGAGGTTTACTAAACAAACTATTTGTAGCAATTTTTGTAGTTATAATTTATTATGAACCTGAGTTAAGAAATGCACTACAGAGCTCACATATTTGAACTTCCTAGCTGCTAGAAATAAAGGTGCAAATGCAGCCAAATTTGCCATCTGCATTCTATAATTGCCTCTTTAAATTCTGATTTTATGACCTATAAAATATTCTGCCCAACAAAAGAAGAGGTATCACACTTTTGCTAGGCAATTATTACTATTCAAAATGTAGTCTATAGTTTTTCCTTTATTTTTCACATACTAACACAATGCAATCCTAACTGCGACCCAAATCAATTCCAAAACATGGGTTGTTGTGCAGTAATCTACTACATGTTCAAATTTATCTAGATATTGCACACCAAGAATTGCTGCAAGTTTGAAAATTCTATATCCAGAAAATATCGTAATTAAGGTAGAGCACATGTCTTTAGATGTGTGCCACTGTTCTAGAAGAAGTCCAATATCTTCGTGGATCTCCTTATAAGAGATTAATCTTTCAAATATTGCCTGGTCACATGCTATATAAAGATTACAATTGTTGCTACAAGGTAAGTCATCATGGTACATTTCACACGCAATGTGAACATTTTTATTACAATTTGGTAGGTCACCAGGTTCTAATATAACAATGCTTGGCAGTGGATATTATAACCTATAGGTACTTGTTCGATGATTTTAGAGAAAACATCTTCTATCTCAAATTCATTTATACGAGTCTCTAACAATATATTTAAAGTTGACTCATATAATATCAAAAGATCTTCAGTAGTCAAAGACTCCACAAACAGTGGCTAGTCAGTGAAATTGTAGTCCCCAGTTAGATATTCATATGAGGTAAGAAGAGAAAATTGAAACACTATTCTTAATATCACATATGAAGTTTGTCATATAATATCAAAAATATTTCTATAGGAGAATATGGAAGCTTTAAAGTTGATATTGTCAATTACTGCTAAATTCCAGATGTTTGGCTTGTCAAGTAAGTTCTTCTTAGGGTCTGTATTTTGTATCCTTGGTCTTTTAAGATGATTTTCATATTATTTAGTGTGTGATACAATGCATGATGAATGAAGAATTTTTCGTAGATATGGCAGCGATTTCAGATTTTGACATAGTGATGATATTATATATAAAAGCCAGATTTTTATCCCAGGAAAAGTGATAGTAAGTAGCATGGAAGTCAAGAATGTGGTGGTTTTTATTATTTGACTTTCATTAAGTGATTTTAGTGAAAGTTTACATTGACATCTTTTAATATTGATAGTTGTTAGTTTATATTGTTGTAGTACTATAAGAAGGGCTTGAAAAAAGCTATGAATAATGATAAGTAATGTATTGATGTAGTTGTTATATGAGCTTGGGTTTTCTAACTGACTGATATTTTTTTTAATTTCAGAATGCAGGTATAAAATTTCTTTTTCTAATCTTTCACCTATTGCTAAAGCCTTTTTTTGAGTTATGTAAGACTTTTTATTCGCTAACCTATTTACTTTAATGCTCTTTAATCTCATCATTGTTCTAATAATTAATTTACTTGGAAGCTCAGATGAGTTTTCGTTTTTTATATTATTAAAAATAGTTGAGAATATCTGGGATAAAAATATTTCTTGTAGTTCTTGATTATTTGATTCTGATACCATTATTAACCATTTTCCAATAAGCCTCAAAGCATTACTCATATCTTCA